ATTTCTGTTCAACATTTACAATATTCACCATAAAGCAAAGAGCCATAAACAGTGTTTTGTGTGCTGCAATTATAAAGGCCTTTTCCTGGAATTAAACCTCTTTGAATAAAATGAGGTTTACTTCTGAGTAGACCTGCTTAGACTTGTTGCCTAAAAAGTTACATGAACCAAGGAAGGACAGAAAATCACACCTTACTGTTATTTGTTTCCTTGGATACGAAAGGGGAAAAATTAAGACAGGTAAGCTATGTCAATTCCCAATATACCCATGGGAATTCTGTTCCATCCCTGATTCTAACCGTCACTCTATACTTAAATAATAGATGGCTTTGGGATTTAATAAAATATTATCAAAGTATCTATACCATGACATTTTTTGTAAATCGCTGCTTATTTATGACAAAGTTGTAAGATAGTGTACACACACTGTCTGTGAGATTGGCTACGAAATTTTACAGCTAATTTGTGGGAAATGGGGGCAGATGTGTTAGGTCACTGCTCCCGGTTATGTTACACTACCAGTTTCTCTGTAAACCAAAGGGACCTTTTTTAATTAAGTGAACCTGTCTGTGGGCAAAGATGTATTATTTCTGAGAACTGTGATTTTCATCATATTCAGATATTTGAGATGAGGGACACACATTCAATTTTACTAAACATGAAGAACAAGAAGAATTTCACAACAATTGGGATTTTTTTGCTGAAGCACCCCGAGTGATAGAAAATATTCTGATGGAAAGAAGCATTATAACTAGTTCCTAAAGAGTTTCTAAATTAGCACTGGGGTGTTTTCAAAGGTCTAATTAATTGCAATAAACCTGAACCAAAATAGCAGCTCTGTCAATTTCAGTGTAATGACAGCACATTTTGGAGGTAATCAGAAGCAACTTGACAGCACGTAACACGCAAACTTCAGTGGGGCTAAATTGCCAAACCTTAATGGACAAATTTGGATAAGAGAAAAATATTATTGGAGTGCAAATTGTACAGTCAACAAAAGCAGCAAAATGATAGTAGGGGGAAATCAGTTACTTGAGAAAATATGAGGAACTCTACATACCTGAATCACCATGTATTTCAAAAGTGCTTCTAAAAAATAGCTTGTTAGATCATCCTGTCCTTTATCTCCTGATTGTGGAGGGACCAGTGGAGTGATTTCTTCTACTGTTACTTGTGCTATTAAAAAAAAAGAAACATGAAAGCTGTCAAGTTTCATAAGTTTTATTCAGAAAGGTAACACACTACATAGCTGTCATTACTTAGGGGTATTTTTTTCAAACCACTAAGCCCAAAACTACACAAAAGGGATAACTAGAGAAAACATTACTATCAACTAAACACATATATTATGATGCTGTGCTCAGCCATGTACTATTAAAATATTTAGGGCCAAATGCCACAACTGTACTGGATAGATCATCCTAATACTCAGCAAGACCTTATCCTCATCCCTTGCTGCCTTCTTGGATGCACATGGATTGGACCATGAGAGCTGTTACTGCCAAAATGTATATGCCCTCCCTCTCTTCTTCAAGGATTTAGGCTATAACCAGTGCTCTAGGGAGGAGAGGGAAGACTCTCAGACTGTTTTTTCCTTCTACACAATATCATGAATGCTGCAATCTGTGAACACCCAAAAGAGGAATGGCTGGAGAAGAGGACTTGCTGGATCCTGTCCTTCAGAGGCACAGCAGCATCCTCAAAAGGCTACAGTGTGTTTTCAGATATTACTCTTGAGCCTGAACACTTGTAAACATTTTAAAAACTTCAGGTGAAATTCCTATGAAATGAACATGCTTAGAATCATACACTTAGGCCACAGAACAAGAACATTAGCCCTCCACACCCCAGGTATTCTATATCAGGAAGTCTTCAATCTCAGCACAGCATAAGAGAGGATGAAGGAACATGCACGCTGAAGACTTCTTGATTTTCTTTCATCTGGATGAAGCCAAGGCAATGAAATCTTTCTGTTTTGCCAAGAGTTCTTGGTAAATTACTGATTAAACTTTTAACTGGTCTTTAGTTGTTTTCTTAAACTTTTTTGTTGTTTGCTACCTTTTACTGTTTTTAATTACCATACACCATTTTATGGGTTTTTATTTGTGAATAGAAGAGCAGTTGAACATTTTATAAATAAATTAATCAAACACTAACTAAACATACTTTCACCATGATTCTAAAATGTTTACTTTGATTTGGGTTCTACTGAAACCAGTGCATTATACTGCAAAGTAAGTGGTTTTGAATCAGATTATTAAAGCTTCCATCTAGCCTACGGATAAAGTCTACTGAGTTTTAAAAAGAGATTAATGAATGCATTTCAAAACATTGGAATTTTCTATTTATGAAGGGGCAAGCACACCCAGAGCTATTTCTTCATAAACTCTACTAGAATTACTACTTACAGCTAAATTCATACTTGCTTGGCTCAGTGTAGAAGCTTTGGCAGCTCAGGATGCTTGGTTGCAATGGGAGGCAAACATTACAGCCCCAATAATTCTTATCAGTTCAGATTATAATTGGAGCAGGAGAACAACTCCTCCCTGGTACCTTCTGGAAAACTGCAACGGCAGCACCCCAGACCATGGATAATGTAGTTTTTTGGGCTTGGATCCTTAGAATGACAACACATGCCCTAGAAACTACATTTCTCAGGATACTTTGAACCAAGAGCCCTGGGACAAGACCATCTGCATGATGCACTGAGAACTCTAAGAAATCACTACAACATGCTTTGGGAAACAGCTTGGTTTGCAAAATTCAATCCTGAATTGCACCAGGGGACACTAACCTATCACTGACTGATATAACAAATCTGTGGGCAAGAGTCCTTACTGGATGCTTTTTAAGAAGCATTCTGGACCAATAACTTCAAATAGATCAAGCATTCTTCACTGAATTCACTTAAAATAATCTGATAAAGTGGATAGCTGAAATATGCAGCTTATTCAAAACTGTTAAATACTTACTTTCTTGAACATTTAGTACAGGATTTATTAGATTATCTAGAGTTCGAGGTCCATATTCAGACTGTGGTGGTGGAAATCCAGGAATTAAACAAGAAAACATACACAGTTGCTCTTTACTACAATTATTTTGAAGGGCTTGCAACCATAAGAGGAAAAGACGTACACCTTCACGACGAATCTGTAAAAGAACATCACATTTTAATCCCACTTTTATTTGCAAATAAGAGTATGTCAACAGTTTTATGAATCCAGTAGTAAAACAACTTCTGATAAAATATGTCATCTTTTCCCTAGTCCTCAAAATTGTTTATTATGTTTATATTGAGATGTATATTGTTTTATTGGTTTTGTGTAAACTGCCCTGAGCCTGCCTTGGTGGGGAGGGTGGGGTAAAAGTTGAAGTAATAAAGAAATAAAATAATGAATGTTTTAATACCATCAGCCATACCTTTAAAGAGTTCCCTGTGTGAAGTAATTTCTTTAAAATTAAGCCTGGAAAAGAAAGCATACATTCAATATTTGTTACTTTATGGCTAACGAAGTGTGAGAGTTCTCGGTCAGACTTGCTAAAATCTTTTAACAAGCCCTTGGCAATCTCTAGATTATTCTTGGTGAACTTTATGTCCTCTGGTATTAAACTCAAAACCAGAAGTGAGAAAAGATCACCTTCTTGATACTTTTGAATCAGATTAAACCTGTGGGGTTTTCTTACATAACAAAGGCATGCATCCAATCATGCAGTTCTGAAGACTTAATGGTACTTAAGTCTTTGGAAGATGTAATCTGCCTGCTCCAGCAGCAGACCTCCACTTAGCTCCAATGTCATTTCTGAGGGCCCTTTATAACTGGAACTTTGGTCAACTATTTTACCATAATGTGATTAGAATTTTGTAGGTCAAATACAATTATTCTGGAACTAGGACTCACCAATGCACCACCAAATGACCATCTCTCCTTTAATCCAAAACATCTGAAGCTTCCCACCCAAAATGTTTGATAGGAGATTTATTGATATTTTATAAACCATCTTTCAAATTTACAATTTTGCTGTTGGTTAAAACTACTAATCATTAGAAAAAATTATTTCTCCAACACCTACCAATACTGTGAAATTGCCATCTTTGATGAATTCTTTCTGGAAGAAGTTGTAAAATTTTCTACAAAATCAAAAGTCAAAGACACAATGCAGTTATAGTTAGAAATCTCCATTACCAGACCTGTGCTTATCTTTAAAATAACAGAAGATAGCTTTACTTTTATCATAAGACCCTGCTTTCAGACTCTCCCAAGTCTTCTACCAACTATTGGTCATTTAGATGAAATTTTCCAGGGCAACATTCTAGTTCAGGTGAACTCCTTGCAAATTTACATAAATACAATGAAGCAAATCTTAGAGAGTTTGGTAAACATTATTTAAGAATACTACCTACAGAGATCAAGGTCCAACTGAAGGAGATAATTCTACATTTAACTTTTTTCAAAAATTTTAATGTCAAAAATTCAGGGTCAAAGCTTCAAACCGAGACCATGAACAAAATTCAGAAAAACACATAACCCCCTCTGTGTGCCCCAGGAATGTTCAACTCCCCTTATTCCCTAATAGCCATCCTCTCATACCTCACTTCTAAAATTTGGGAGCAAAGTAAAATAGAAGATAACTATAAAGAATAACAACATTTATTTCATAAAGGTTCAGGAATCAGAGCGGACTACACCAGACATATCTGTAGTGGCACCACCCAATGTAATGGCCTGCCTGAGGAGACTAGAAAGGCCCCTACTCTTTTAGTACCCTCTTTCAAACTGTTAAAGATGCCTGCATGCTCAAAATGTTTAGGGACCCCTGCTATACACATCTGGAATTATCAAATTTGGGTGGCATTTCAGCAGGAATGGTTTCAATGGGGGGGTGGGCAGTACACAGGAGCCGGGGGGGGGACAGAGAGCAGCTGGGGTTTGCCCCCTCGAGGGGCTAGTGGCGGGGGGAGCCTCAGAGCGGGAGAGAAGAGCACCCCTCCCCCATCTGCAGAGCCGACACTGAGAAAAGGTGACAGCCAGGTCCTCAGAGTTTCTCTGGTGTTTGTTTGTTTTAAAAAACATAACTCCCTCCACGGCGCAGCATCAAATCAAAGTGGCTCTGGGCAAAAGTCGGATCTAGTTGAAAGGGGTTGCCAGCAATGCTCCCTTAAAGCTGCCTGTAGAGTCTTGTGAGCAAAAACTCTACTTTGTGAGCTAATTGGCATTAAAGTTGTGAGTGAGCCATTGGGCTGCAGCATAAATGAGTTTGCTCTGGAGCCGTCTCTTCCTGAGCTGAGACAAGAATGTGTGAGTCGGAGGCTGAAAAAACTGAGCCGGCTCACACTAGCTCAGCTTAGAGGGAAGACTGGTTGCCAGCCCCCAGGTGAGGCTTTCTGCGGCTTTCCTATTAGCTTTTTTGTTTTCGCTATTTTCCAGGTTGACTTTTCAGTAGTACCGTAGTTAGGCAATGGGGGGGGGATCCGTACTTGTGAATATCTGTGTGATTGTGCGTTCTTGAGTGTTTCTGTACAGTTAGAAAAATATATTTGGCTTTGATTATGATGTGATATCCCTGGCATATCACATCATAACCAAAGTCACTGCTCATGTTTACTATCATTATTATTATTATTTCCTAAAATGCATTTATGTTTGAAAATTGGTGGGTGCACCAGGGCGCCAGAAGGTAGCCTCGCCTAGTGTGCAAAAAACCCTGGAGCCGGCCCTGGCTACAAAATTAAGTTATTATACATTGTTAATAAAGCCATATTCTTATATCTCAAAATGATATTGTCTTGAAAATATGGGTTGTTGGGGACAATCTCCTTTTCCGCTAAATATTCTACCACAGGAAACCAGAGAGTTTGAAATGTTTTTTGGTAGTTATCCAAATTAGGCACAATAGACTGGTACATAATTTTACTAAATATGAAGTGATCCCATAATTTGTTTTGCCACATTTGTAACGTAGGACCTGATTTCTCTTTCCATTTTTTTTACAATTAAAATTCTCACTATAGCTAGGAGGTATGAAATTACTTTTGCTTTGGTTTTGTCTCCTGAATGATTTGACCAGACAAAAAGAAGGACCATCTCTGGTAATTCAAGTAAATTGCATCCAGTGATTAGGTATATGTGTTTTAAGATTTGCTGCCAGAAATTTTTTATGGGTGGGCAGTGCCATCACCACTACAAAAAATTTCCCACTAGCCCTCAATTTCTCCAGCATTTTGGGCTTGACGTGGGGTGCATATTATGTATTCTGGTTGGAGTTTAGTGCCATCTATTTAAAACGTTAAGAGAATTAAAACCTATAGTAAAAATCTTAGATGTCATGCTGGGGGAGCTCCAAATTTTAATCCAGTCAGTCTTTTGGATTCTGTTTTGACAATCCATTTGCCATAGTGTTTGATATTTTATTTTAGTCTCACTTATCACAGAAACCAGAATTTTGTAAATGTTTGAGATAAGACCTTTAATCTCTCCACTTTGTTTCCTGAGTATAAGTTCAAATGTTGTTAAAGGTCTTTTGAAAGTATCTGAATGTTGTATTGTGTTTATCACGTGGTTCACTTGCAGGAATCTATACCAAAGTATATTTTCGCCAATTGTAATGTATTGGAATCCTCACATGAATCACCTCATTAGACTCCCATGTTAAGCTTCGAGCCAAGCTAGGGCTCCTCTGACTGAACTTCCTATTGGTCGCTTTGTAACAGCGACCAATCAGAACAGTACTATTCCCTGGGAGGGAAAGACTCCCATTGGTCCTTAACTAAGAAATCTCATTGGTTGTTATTTGTAAATAGGCGTGGCTACATTAGCCCAGTTATGTTTAAAAGGAGCATAGCTCCCACGGTTTCTTGTTCTGGTTTCTAATGCGTTTGAGTGCTTGTTCGTTACTTCAATAAAGCTGAATCACTTGCTGAATCACTCTACGAGTCCTTTGTTAGCGCGATCTAACAATTGGCGACGAAGGAGGGATGTTAGAGCAGGTAGGCAGCCCTGCGGACATCCACACTTCGGACTCGGAAGAAAGCGGGCAAAGCACAGCAGCCGATCCGGCGGAGGCGCCACCAGCTCCGGTGCCCAAGTCTCCCACGATGGCTGGAAGCCAGAAGTTCGAGTGCTTCGAACCCTCCTCAGAAGACTGGGACTCCTACCTATCCAGGTTCGAGTTCCATCTGGAGACCCACGACATCACCGATGAGGCGAAGAAACGAGCATGCCTCCTGAGTTCCTGCGGGAAGGGAACCTTCGACATTGCCAGGTCGTTGATGGCCCCAACAGATATGAAAACTGTCTCCTACGCTGACATCACAAAGAAGCTTAAGGCCCATTTTTCTCCACAACCATCGGAGATCACCTGCCGGCACGCTTTTTACAAGCGGAACCAGGCCGGAGGCGAGACCATCGCAGATTTCGTGGCAGCCCTTCGCAAAGCC